TAGAGCCTAGAGCAACCACCTTGAAATTCTGAGTCAGGGAATATCGGCTTCCTTAAGTCTATTCCGGAATTTATAGCTATCGCTGCCACACCTGGGTGGTTACGTACAAGGAACTAACTTTAATCTTTTAGAGTATAAAAATAAAACGGACCTAGTGTATTATTACTGCAGTCAACCGTCTGTCTGTGTATCATGTTTTTCTTTGTGTTCTGCATCTGTGTTTTATGTTCTGTGTTCGTCCTCTGTCCTGTAAACGGGCCACGACAGGTGACGAGTGTGTCTGTGAATGTGTTTGTGCGTGCGTACATCTGGTGCAAGAACCAAGAGAGAAAACTCGAAGAAATGGCTGGAGACACATTCTGTGAAGACAATAAGCAGGGTGGCATGATGGCGTTTAACGGAGTGGCCCCGGGGGAGGCCTTGTCAAGCAGGAGGCTCTGGGATTGAGGCCGAGGATGAAAAAGTCCCCAAGGGGCCGGGAGAGGGGAAGGGGCATTCCAGAAGAGGCGGCAGGTGACAGCCCCTGGAGCCCGGCCGCAGTACCCACTTGCCTTCCTCTTTGACGTCAGCTTCCTCCTCTGTAAAAGGGGATGCCCAGCTTACCTGGGAGGCTGAGGCAGGAGGATCGCTTGAGCCCAGGAGTTGGAGGTTGCAGTGAGCTAGGCTGACACCACGGCACTCTAGCCCAGGTGACAGAGTGAGACCCTGTCTCTAAATAAATAAATAAATAAATAAATAAATAAATAAATAAAAATACAAGGGGATAATAACAGTTTCTGCCTCCTACGGGGTTGGAGGGATTAAGGGAGATAACGTGAATGAAGTCCTTAGTTCCTGGACCCACGTGTTCAGAAATGTGCGTGTCATTGTCATTATTCAGCGGTGGCTGCAAAGATGACAAAGACCTGGCCCCAGCTGTAGGTAAGGCCTAGCATTTCCTAACGGTGATCTCACCTAATTCAAGGCAGTTACTGGGGCGGGGGATGGGCCCACACGCCAAGCACTAATGGACCAGTGGGAGCTCGGCTCCGGGAGGGGGGGGGAGGGGGAGGGTGATCTCTCTGAGCCTGTCGAGGAGGAGGAGGTGGACGGGTACCTGATAAAGCTTCCCCCAGAATGACACTAGTGGTCTGGCAAGCCCAGGCAGGGGCCGGGGAGTGGAGAACCTTCCAGAGAGCTCAGTGTGGTTCTGGGGAGCTGAAAATCGGGTCTCTATGGACACAAGGAAGGAGACGGGGAAACAGCCAGCATGATGGAGTGGGGGGCCTTGACCGTCACACTTGGGTGGGCTTTTTTGTGGGGTGGGGATCAACGAGCAGTGGAGAGGGTGTAGCCAGACAGACTGGTGTTGTAGAAGCTTCCCGAGACTGCAGGGAGGGGCAGGCACTGAGGCCAGCGAAGCAGGGGCCAGCCGAGAGATGGGGAGGCCCGGCCCAGGGCAGCAGGTGGGGGACAGAGGTGGGCAGGGAGCCCCAGAGGGGAAAGGAGGAGCCGGGGCATAGGAAGGAGGAAAAGACCTCCCACCCCTGCAGGCTCTGGCCAAGTCCCTGCTCCCCTCCTGGGGGGGCATCCTGATGGATCCCCTCCATCCTGTCCCTGCCCTCAGACTCAGTGTCCCCAGCCCTAGGGAAACACAGGATAGACATGGGGTCGTGGGGCCTGTCCAGCACTCTGTGTTGTAGTTCTTATTTTACTGGTGGCTACCAGTTGTGGAGTCCCTGCTGTGTTCCAGGGACCACAAACACACACAAATGCACACACACTCCCCATTTCATATAAGCCTCACAGTAACCTAGCAAGGCAGGCATGCTGCCTCCCATTTACAGATGAGAATCTTGAGGACTGGAGAGGCCCTAAGTCACACAGCTAGTGAGAGAGAGCCAGGATCTCACCAAATTAGCTGATATACGGAAAGTACCTACACTAGTGCCTGGCACATAGCAGGCATTCAGTAAGTGCTAGCCACGCCGATGTTCTGTTTTTTAATAGAGAGAGAGAGGTTCACTCTGTTGCCCAGGCTGGAGCGCAGTGGCTTTTCACAGATGCAATTGTAGCTCACTGCAGCCTCAGACTCGTGGGCTCAGGAGATCCTCCTGCCTCAGCCTCCCGAGTAGCTGGGACTACAGGCACGCGCCACCGCACCCCGCCCTTCCACTGTTTTTGTTGGTATCATCAGCTGGATGTGTCTGGCCGCAGAGCCCACGGCCCTCTGGGGGGCCATATGGATTTATCTAGGCCAGTCTCGTGGTCCGTTATTTGTTCATCCCCACTGGGCCGTGGGACCCTGCAGAGCAGGAGCCAGGTCTGCTTGGTCTGTGGGTCCCGAGCACAGGCCAGCGATGGCTTGTTGAATGAATAATATTAATACATCAAGCTCCTTGAAGGCAAGGACTGTATTTATTTTTCAGAGTCACAAGATCTCTCCAGCCGTGTTTGTCCCTAAGAACTATGGGATTCCCTATGGAGGAGCCCTGCTGACCCCTTCAGCCAGGACAGGCGGTGTCCCTTCCCAGCCTCGTCCCTCCCCTCCTTGGGGACTGGCCGTACCCTGGCTCCTGCCAGCCATGCCCTCCTCCTGGTCCCAGCCCTCTCGTCCTGGCCTCCCGGGGACTGGACGGGCTTCTGCTCCGCCTCAGGGCAAACCCCAGCTCCTGCCACTCCCTCCAGCCACCTGCGTCCGCCCCTGACCGGCTGGTGTGTCGTTCCCCTCCCTGAGCCTCAGTTTCCTCAGCCTCAAAATGAGGACAGCCATTTTGATCACTCTTAGCTCATCTTTCTATTTACCACCAAGACCCAGCTGGTGGAGGCTGCGCCTCTGGGTCCCCAGGCTCCCGGGAAAGCGGCGTGTCTCTTCAAGGCCACTAGATGGCACCCGCGGGTCACCCGTCTCTCTGCAGGCTGACCCGGGGAGGAATCCCACCTCTGGGATTACGCCCAAGGACCTCAGCCACCTTCCTCCCCCCACTGGCACGGGCCCCTGAAAATCTGCCCGCTGGCAGAGACAGGAGGCACAGGGATTAGGGAGGGTTTGGGGGTCAGACAAACTTGCACTTAGGAGTTCCAAGGCCAGCCGTCCTCTTAGGGAGTGTCCTGGATCTCCGCTTGGCAGTGAGCTTGGTGGGTGACCCTGGGCATGTCCTGGGACCTCTTGGAGACTCAGGTTCTTCCTCTGTGAAACAGGATAACGGGTCTTTTCTCCTCGGCACCACGGAAACTGAAGGAGACTGGGCACGGAAAATGCCCCTTCTGCCTCCTGGCAGGGAGCAAGCGCCAACGAGCACTATCTGTCACCAGTCATTAGTGCGCCTTTGCAATTTAGTGTCACACCTCAGAGCCTCCTCTGGGAAGAACCTTAGGCAGGATGCCCAGAGGTCTGGGTCCGCAATCGCCTGTTCCCGCACTGCGTGACCTTTGGCAAGTCACTTCCCGTCTCTGGTCCGCTGCTTGGCCTCAGCCAACCCCAGGAGGCTGGAAGTGTCATGGAAAAATAAGGGCTTGGGAATCAGACAGACTGGAGTGTGAACCCCGCCCCCTTCTCCTCCTCCCAGCTGTGGGACCTTGGCTGTCTCTGGGCATGGATGCTAATTACCTGAGGGTTGTGATCATTTGTTCCAAATCTGTCTTGTTGGCTGCATTGTAAATTCCATGAGGGCCGCTGGGCCCATGTCTGTGCGGCTCATCCACATAGACTCCGCGCTCAGCTCAGCGTCTGGCACCAAGTCCTCAACAAACGAGAGCTATTGTGTCGCCGTCGCTGTCACCGCAGACACTCAGTGACAGTAGCGGGCACTGCGTGCGGAGCTGTCCCTACATCACCTGCAGTAATCCTCAGGCTTTGTCCCTATGTCATAGACGGGGAAACTGAGGGCCAAGGAGGTTGGGTCCTTGCCCAAGGCACACAGCAGCACAGTGACAGGCACTGGGATTTGGGCCTGAGCTCGCAATAGCTGAATAACCGGCCCCCGAAGACGCACACGTCCTAACCCCCAGAACACGGTGCACGCCGCCTCACACGGCAAAGGAACTTTGCAGGTGTGATCAAGCTAAGGATCTCGAGATAGGGGCCTTATCCTGGATTATCCGGGCGGCCCGACGTAATCCCAAGGATCCTTCTAGGAGGAGGCCGGAGAGTCAGAGTGGGAAGAACGAGAGGGGACCACGGAAGCAGAAGGAGAAAGAGCGTTTGAGGTGAGGGCGAAGGCAGTATCTACGCTAGAAAAGAGGGAAACCCGCCTTGCTCACACTTTTAAGCCGGCGAGACGGATTTTGGACTTGTGGCCTCCAGAACGGTAAGATAAGAAATGTGCGTTGTTTTAAGCTACTAAGCTCACAGTAATTTGTTACAGAGGCAGCAGGAAGGTAATACACAGGCAATCGAGGTAATGTACGAAACCACCCGGCATACAGTTGAAGCTCACTAAATGCTCTTTCCTTCCCAGGACTAACCCTTTTTCCTCTTCCAGCTACAACAGAACGGCAGAGGGGAAGGGGCCTCGAGGATATTCCAGCTCAAAGGACCCATTTTGCAGACGTGATGCCCGAGGCCAGAGATAGGGAACCACTTGCCCCCGTCATGCAGAGGTGAGTGGGGCTGGGGGCGTCTCCTGGGCAGGTCCTGGGGCTGCTGGGGCTGTTCTTGTGGCCTCCAGCGCTGGGCAGCCTGGGGGAAATTGCCTAGTCCAAACCCATTGCCCAAGTGAGGACACGAGCTCAGAGTGGCCCGGGAGACTGGCAACCGCTCGCCAAGCCGCCAGGGTGTGTGCAGGCCCAGAGCCCCGTGAGTCCTCCTGTGCAGAAGGCCCGTCCCTCCCCCTCTTGAGCACGGCTCCTCCGTGTTTGTCCCCAGCAGACAGGGGCCAGCGGGTTCTGGGAAAGCCATGTCAGGGGCCCGCCCAGCTGTGGCGCAGGAATGGGGGAGAGCAGTTCCTTAGCAGCCTCCAGCCTGGGAAAACGCTGTGGCCTTCCTGTCCCCTCCCACCCTGCCCCTTCCAGGCGGCCCTGACCCCACAGCTGTGAGAAGTCCCCTGGAGGCAGCGTCCAGTGGAGCTGGGAGCAAAGAGGGCCCAGGAAGGAGGAATTTGATTTCTGATCTCCAGCTGTTAGTGGCATTACCCTGGATTACCCTAAACTGAGCCTGGGGCCCGGGGCTTGTCGAGGGACCAAGGAGTCCCACTGTCTCGCCCAGGCACCTAGAGACACAGCTGGCACCACGACCCCCAGCGACACAGGCACTGGTCTTTACAGGAAGCATTCACACCCACTGCCATGCCCGGTTCTCACAACAGCCCTGCCAAGGTGAGGCTGCTACTGTCCCATTTTACAGATGAGGAAACTGAGGCTCAGAGAGAAGAAGGGACTTGCCTGAGTCAAGGTCCCATGGTAGCAGTGCTGGGACTCTGCTGACTGCATAAGCTCTCGTGGGATGACCCTGGACCTCACTCTGACGAGTTCTAGCCCCGACCTCGATGGGGGACCTTAAGCAAACTCCTTCTCTGAGCCTCCACTAAGTGGGGAGATGAGAACAGCACCTAACTCTTGGGGCACCGTGTGGAATACATGAGTGAGCACTGTGCCCGGCGCATGGCAAACACCCCACGATTGCCCACCCGGACAGATCACCCGGCAGTCACTGGGTAACCGAAAATAATACTGAGCGTGCGCCGTGTGCCCGAAACCCAGCAGACGCAAGTCCCCGCCCTCAGAGCGGACACTCTGGCTGGGGAGACAGCCAACAAACACAGTAAGGAGCACACTAAAGAGCGGGTTGGAAAGTAGTAAGTGCCGGTGGGGAGAGAGGGCCTGCTGGGCTGGGGGCATGGCCCCTGGGTCCCTGGGGGAGCAGCGTGCCAGGCAGAGGGGGAGTGAGCGGGGTGGGGGCCTGGCACGATCAAACAGCACCTGGGGAGAGGTGGGCCTGGGCCGGGGCAGGGGGAGAAAGGGGCGGAGCCTGCCTGTCCCTCAGCGAATGGGACATTTTGTTCTTCTGGCCCGGATCCAGGAGTCCCCAGGGGCACACTCTGGGATTGCCCTTGTGCAGGCCTCTCCAGCTGAGATCCCTTCCCACCGCCTGGGGCAGAAGCTGTGCCGTCTCCGCCCTGGTGGAGGGATGCAGCCCCCGCCAAGGGGATGCGCGGTGTTGAGTGTAGGTGCGTGTGAGCGTGGCCCGTGCCAGTCCTTTCCTGCTCGTCTTGCTCCCTAGGGCTCCCATTCCAAGCCTGCACTTTGGGGTACAATAAGCGACTATTCACTGCCCCACCTCCAGGGTCGCCCTGGGGGAGCAAGCAGGACGTCCAGGGCAGCTCTGTAGCTGCTGCCGTCAGCTCCTCGGCTTCATTCGAGGGGAAGGAACATTCGCCACCCACAGCCTGGTGTCTGTCCATCCTCCTCTCTGTCTGCCTGCCTTTTGGCCCAAGCATCCATCTTTCCACCCACCTACCCAGTGACTCCACCCACAGATCCAGCTATCCATCACTGGGCTGAACAACCACAGTCTTTCTGTTTGATTGCTACGGGTCCATCCTCCCATCCACCCATCCATCCAATCGCCCATCCATCCACCCATCCAATCACCATACACTCTCTCTCATCCGCCTATTGTTCTGCCCCCAAATTTCTTTCTCTGCCTGTTCATTGGTCTATCCATCCATCCATCCATCCACCCACCCATCTCTCCACCCTACTTCCCACTTCTCTTCCAACCAGCTCGTTGGCCCGTCTGTTGGTCCATCCCCATTCGGGAGGCATGTATGGAGGCCTTTCCTGTGTGCTCAGTGCTACGATAACAGCATCCGCAGTAACAGATTCCATCGCAGGACTTTTGTTTTATGCCAAGCGCTTTGCCTGCACTCTCATTGAACCCTCACGTCAACCTATCCCTATTTGACAAATGAGGAGAAAATGCTAGACAGTTGCCGTAGTAGTCACTTTCCGAGGTGGACACGATCACCGTTGCGCAAATGCAGAAAACGGCCGAGCCGTTTGCCTGGAGGCCTAGCACTGAGGAAGGGCAGTCGGGCTTTGACCCCGAGCGCCTCACTCCTCCCCTCTGACCCCCACTGCCTGGGCTGCTGCCTGGGCAAAGAGGACCCGGTTTCCAGTCCTGGCTCCTGCTGCCGGGCAGTGACTGTGCACGCTGAGTCTGGCCTGGGCCTCCATTTGTCTGCGTGCTGGGCAGTGGCTTTAGACGCGTGCGGATCCCTGCAGCCGTCCCTCCTTTCTTCCTGCCTCCTCCTCCTGAAGAGCCGGCAGCGTCTAGCAGAGCTGGGCCGGCTCTGAGTCTCAGACGCGGCCCGGCCCAGTGTGGACCCACCCGTGGCACCATTTCACTCGCTCGCTCAACAGATACCCTTCCCTGAGTGTGCACCGTGCCCAGGCCCAGCCCTGGGGACGACTCAGGGCCGAGCAGCGCACAGCCAGGGGGAACGGGGGGGGGGAAGGGGAGAGTCCCATGGGGCACCAGCCTGCTGCGGGACCTCACCGTTTCCCTCAGTTTTCTCATCTGCGAAATGGGCTAGTCATACCCACCTCAAGGGGTCAAATGAAGTAAGTGAGAACACACCCAACACCCCTCTGCTCTCCCTTCCCGCCAGGAAGCAACAGGGCTGGACTGGAGCGGAGGTCCCCAAGGCAGACTGGTGGGCGGCCTCAGGGGCAGGAACCCCCGGAACCGCATGCATGTTGTGTGTGCACCTGCAGTCTTCCCCCAGAAGGTCCTCCTCTTCCATCAGATCCTGGAGGGGTCTGTGACCTCGTTACTCATGATGATGATAAGCCTTTACTGAGCGCCGTCGCTGAGTCTGCGCAGTGCTGGGCTCTCGGCACACCTGACCCCACCCAGCCTCAGCGGGCAGCAGGCCCAGCAGTGGTGGAGCGCAGGCGTCCCGGAGCCTCACCGTCTGGGGCCCGGCCCTGGCCCCAGTACTTCCCAGCTGTGTGACCTTGGGCAGGTTGCCTAACCACTCTGTGCTTCAGTTTCTTGAGACCTAAATAAGGATGACACCAGCATCTGCTTCCTAAGGTTGCTTGGAGGATTAATGACAGGCACGGAGCTTAGGAGCATGCCCGTCCCTGAGTAACGCTCAGTGGGTATCTGTCAACGTGGATGAGGAAATGGAGCCTCCGAGAGGTAAAGGAGCTTGTCTGGCGTCAAGCAGCCCGGAGAGCCCGGATTCCAACACACAGAGCCCTCGTACACGCTCAGAGTGAGCCCCCGAGAGGACCCTGACCCGAGCCCCACCCCGGTTCTGGCATCCAGGCCTCTAGATTTTACTCTTGTCCGATCCAGACAAAGTGGGGGGCTGGCCTGGCTGGTCTGTGACGTTTCCTGCCACTTCTGCCCCGGGGGGCTTCTCCGTGGGCGTCCTCGTCCAGGGCCTGGCTGGCAGGCTGACCCCTCCAGAGAAGCGGGGGAGGGGGAGCGGGGGGCAAGAGCACGTGCGGCGCCCGAGCGTGTGCGCAGCCCTGCCCCTCCCCGGCGCCCACGGGTGCAGCTCCCAGGGCTCCCTGCACGGCGCCCCCGCAGGCGCGCTCCCTCCGGTGCCATGTGACGCCAGGGGTGGTGTGGGAGGGAGGAGGATTTGAGCTCCGGCTGACTGACAGCTTTCCCTCCGGGAACGCGGGGAGCCCCCGGGCTGCAGCCCTCAGAGCTTTGAACAGACTAGGACACAGAGCTGTGCTCTGCTGGGTCACTTCCCAGCTTAGTGGGATCTCAGGCTCTGGGCCTCAGTTTGCTCATCCACAAAATGGGGGCAACACTTGCTCCTTCATCCTCTGGCCATGGTGACGGTGACAGCAGAACGTGTACGTGAAAACACCCAGCCCCGAGCGGACGCTGGATCCTGCCACTTACTTCCCACCCCTGTTCCCCTGTGGAGGCTGAGAGGGTCCCAGGCCTGCCATGAGAAGTGGTGTCCTTTGGCATCTTGTCGCAGGGACAGGAGTTCAGCTGTGGCAACGGCTGGAGGCCCGGAGTGGACCGGGGTGTCCTGTGCAGGTGCAGAAACCGGGTTCTTGACATCGGGGCAGCTGCTCAAGACCGCCTGCTCAGGCCGGGCGCTGTGGCTCACGCCTGTAATCCTAGCTCTTGGGAGGCCGAGGCGGGCGGATTGCTCAAGGTCAGGAGTTCAAAACCAGCCTGAGCAAGAGCGAGACCCCGTCTCTACTATAAATACAAAGAAATTAATTGGCCAACTGATATATATAGAAAAAATTAGCCGGGCATGGTGGCGCATGCCTGTAATCCCAGCTACTCGGGAGGCTGAGGCAGAAGGATCACTCAAGCCCAGGAGTTTGAGGTTGCTGTGAGCTAGGCTGACGCCACGGCACTCACTCTAGCCTGGACAACAAAGTGAGACTCTGTCTCAAAAAAAAAAAAAAAAAAAAAAAAGACCGCCTGCTCTGCAAGCCCGCTGGCTCTGTGCATGAGGTCCTCAGCCCGCACTGGGCCTCAGTTGCCCTTTCATCAGCGGGGTCCCCGAGACCTCCGCCCGCTGTGACATCCCATGAGCTGGGTGGGATCTCAAAGGCTTGGAGATGAAGGCTTTATTGGACAAAACCTGGGGCTGGGGAGGGTGGAGTTGGGGGCCTCGTCTCCACCTGCACATTTGCTCATCCCATCACTCCTTCAACAGACACCCATCAGACACCTACTGTGCGCCAGGTGTGGGTGCTGGGGACGCAGCCATGAACGAGGCCACGACCTGCTGGAGCTCCAGTTCTGGAGGGGCCGCCGGACTCCGGACAGCAGGCGATGATGAGAACGCTGAAGGAAAATCAAGCATCAGGACGCGATGTGGGGTCACTGGGGTGCTCATGAGGTAGGAGGGTCAGAGAAGGCACTTCCTAGGGGAGACACTTGAGCAGGACCCCGACAGAAGTCAGCGGGAGCCATGCAGACATCCGGGTACCTGCTGGGCATGTTGGAGGCCCGGGGAGAAGGCACTGGGGCTCGGCAAGGAGCCAGGAAGGGGCAAGGTAAGGGGCAGGGGGTGATATGGAGCTTGGAGGGGCTGGGGAGGGGTCCCCCAGGCCCAGCCTTGCCTCATAGGCCTGGGGAGGGGAGCATTCTTTGGGATCACTCCTCTGAGACGCCTGCCCTTGAGGGGTCTTCTAACTTGAACTTAGAAGATGGACAAGAACATGCCCTTGAAACTCTGAGTCCAGCCGAAGAGCCTTCCAGCAGCACGAGGCCACCTGGTGCGGCCCCCGGGGTTCACACAGCCCCCTCGCGGACGAAGAAGGTGAGGCTCAGAGCGGGGCGGCGGCGACCTCCCCAGGACCCCCAGCCACGCCGTGGACCTGAATCCGGAGCACACCCTTCCCGCCCTGCCATGCTGCGGCTCTTTTTCAAGATGATGTTTGTGAAAATTAGTCTCAGTAAAGACAGCTAAAAGGGATGGGTCGGGGATGTTTTTAGCTGCCTGTAAGCCAGATAAAAGGTTCTGTTGTTGCAAAAATGCTTTTCTTGTGTATGCTATAAGCAACCACTAATTTCAGAAATTATCCAGCCTCGCTAAGCAGAAATGACGGGTGGCTTTTTGAATTTGGGATGAAGACGGGTTCTGTGTGTCTGTGTGCTGTTGCCGATGGTTTACTTAGGACAGGAATCTTTTCCTGCCTTCAGTGTAGTACATTTCAAGGAGGCAGGGACCATGTCTTTTCTATCCACGCAGCCCTGGCAGAGGAGGTGCGCCATTGGCGTTTACTGAAGAGGAGGTTTCCCGAGTGGCCACAACTGTGCGATCCTCTGTCTTCACCCGTAGGTGGATGGGAGTATAGCGTGCTTGTTGAATGAATGAATGAATGAGTTTGGGCCAGCAAAGGCCTGACTTCGAGCTACAAGTAGCCAGGAAGCACCAGTGTGTGAGCTCTGCCGAAGGTAAAGAGGAGAAGTGGCATTTTCAGGGGAGGATCACAAGGTGAGTAAATAGCTGAGAAGTTGATAGAAGAAATTCCAAATCTGGGTTCCCATGCTCTGTGAATGATGCCAACCCCCCATCCCCCAGAGCTAAGATGCAGTAACATCAAAGCTACAAGGGGCCTGGATCCGTTTTCACCAGGTCATGCTGCATCACAAACAGCCCCCAAATCAGTTTCTTGGAGCAATAAATACTCATTTCCCGCTCTTGTTGCATGTCCGTGGCGGGGAGAACAGTGTCGACGACGGCTGCTGCGAGCTCGGGTCCGGGCTGTGGTCAGGGTCAGGCCCGCGCTGTGTGTCTCTCATGCCGGGGCCCAGGTGGGGTGCAGAGGGCAGGAGCACAAGAGGGCGGGGGAAAGTGAGCGGCGAAGCCACGTGTATATCTGGAAGCATAGACGGATACACAGGCCCACATTCGGAGGGTTGAATACAGTCACGTGGCCAGGCCAGCCTCAACAGGCAGAGCTGGCAATGAATATTTGCTAAATGAAGATGCACTTTGCTACCAGAATTTAGAGAACCGTGAGTCCAGTGGATTTTTTTTTTTTTTTTTTTTTTGACAGAGTCTCACTTTGTTGCCCAGGCTAGAGTGAGTGCCGTGGTGTCACCCTAGCTCACAGCAACCTCCAACTCCTGGGCTCAAGCAATCCTCCTGCCTCAGCCTCCAGAGTAGCTGGGACTACAGGCATGCGCCACCATGCCCGGCTAATTTTTTCTATACGTATATTAGTTGTCCAATTAATTTCTTTCTATTTATAGTAGAGACGGGGTCTCGCTCTTGCTCAGGCTGGTCTCAAACTCCTGACCTCCAGCCATCGGCCCGCCTTGGCCTCCCAGAGTGCTAGGATTACAGGCGTGAGCCACCGCGCCCAGCCGAGTCCAGTGATTTAAAGTGTTCTTAGAAGAGCCTCGGGGGTCCTCTCCAACCACCTCGGGCCACGGTGTGTGCGGGGAGCAGGCCGTAAAAGTAGACGGGCTCCCACCTTCAACACCACCTGTTTATCTGTTGGGCTGCCAGCTAAGTTTTCATTTGAAAGCTGCTTTAAAAAAATAATAAATAATTTTTTTAAAAAACCCAAGATGGCCAGATACAATTCCCCCATATTAGAGAGAGGAAGATCAGAGGCCCAGATGGAGACATGTATGAAGCTGAGCAGCGGTAGAGCCAGGACGTGTACCCAGCGAGAGAACTCCCCATACGGCGCCCCAGGTCAACATGTATTCGTATATTCATTCAACCAACACTCGCCACTCAACAACTCTGGGCAAAATTCTAACAATCACGGGATTCTTCTCCATTCACTCTGCATCTTAACAACCTAGTTTGTGCCTGATTCATTCATTTGACTCAACAAACATTTTCTAAAGACCTGCTATACATCAGGCCACGCTTTACGCATCAGAGGTATAGCAGTGAATGGAACCAATTTTCTGACCTATGGAATTGACGTTCCAGGGGAGACAGATAATATATAGAACAGGCTAGATATATAAAGTGCAATAGGCGCTGTGAAGCCAGCTAGCAGAGAGAGGGAGTAGAGAGTGCCCAGGGGGTTATTTTGGACAAAGGAGCTAGGAAGGCCTCTTTGAACAGATGGGATTTAAGCAGAGATGTGGGTGAAGTGAGAGATGAAACCACGTGTATATCTGGAGGAATATGCGGATGCACAAGGCGGATTGGACAAAGCCAGTGCGAAGGCCTATACTTGTATACGTGTGTTCTACGCATGCCTGCATACGTGTGTGCTGCTCATGCCTACATATGTGTGCTGTCCATGCCTGCATGTGTGTGCTGCCTGTGCCTGCATGTGTGTGCTGCCCGTGCCTGCATATGTGTGTGTTGCACATGCTTGCATATGTGTGTTGCACATGTCTGCATATGTTGCACATGTCTGCATGCGTGTGCTGCACAGGACTGCATATGTGTGTGCTGCACGTGCCTGCATATGTGTTGCACATGTATGCATATGTGTGTTGCACATACCTGCATGTGTGCTGCACATGCCTGCATATGTGTGCTGCACATGCCTGCATGTGTGTGTGCTGCCCATGCCTGCATTTGTGTGCTGCACATGCCTGCATGTGTGTGTGCTGCCCGTGGCTGTGTGTCAGAGACATTGCAAGAGGCCCGGATGGGAAGGTAGCACAGCTGAGGCCAGAGGTGTGGCCGGTGCCCCGGAGGCCCCGGGGAGGAGCTGGGCTTTGCTGCTGAGCGAGGTGGGAAGCCAGTGGAAGGCTGGGCTCAGGCAGAGGTGTGATCTGCCCTGCGTGGTGTGAAGCGCCGAGAGCAGGAGACTGGGAAGGCGGCTCTTGCTACTATGTGGGGGTGGGCTGCCGGGGCTCGGAGGGGCTGAGGGCTGCTGTGGCATGCAGTCAGGCCACCAAGGGCAGACTCCGAGGGGGCAGGATGGCAACGGCATGAGGGACACCGTCCTGCTGCTGTTCGACTGCAGCTGAGGGAGCTGGAGCAGGACAGCCAGGCTGAGGGTCGGAGGGGCCGGAACCAGCCTGCAGGTGGGCGGCGGCGGCTCCCAGGGCTGACAGAGAGCAGAACGCGCAGTCCCTCCGAGGCGGTGCCAAGGCCCGAGAGCGCCCATTGGCTGGAGGCCTGCCAGGGCTGCTGGCCGGGACGCCGGAGCCGCCCAGGTGCCGGCCTCCCGGGTCATCGCACAGGATGACGGAGCTGCCGGGCCGCGATTCCAGCCTTGCTCAGGCCGGCTGCATTGGCCACCTAATCCTCCCCGACCTCTCTCCCTTCCATCAATCTCCTGTCCTGTTTCCCCTTGATAAATTTAATGAGGTTCTTGGAGGCTGGGTATTCTTCCCCTATTTTATTTGCACCTGCTGCCTAGCCTCGGTTGAACCAGCACGGCCGCAGGAAGCCTCCCCACATTCCTCTGCTGAGGGTGACCCTGCCGTGCACAGCTACAGCCCTTGCGACAGTCGTCCCTTTTCCTGTGCGCTGATTGACTGCTGTCCATCTGTCCTGCTCGAGGATACGCTCCAGGAGGCTGTCTGTCGTTCTGGGGGGCGAGCTGGGGGCCCACGTGGTCGCCTCTACCCCAGCCAGTCCCAGACACACAGTAGCCCGGTCGATGTGAGGCCCCGCCCCCAGGTGTTCCCGAGTCCCGCCTCTGGGATCAGGACCCTCAGGTTGCTGGTCGGGGAGCCCAAGACCCCTTTCCTGAGCTTCCCAAGTCGCCCAGCCCCTGGCCAGGACGGATCTGGTGCAGCAGCTGCGGCTGGCGGCTGTCATCCCTCCTCTGCTGGCCTGTTCTGTGGGCGGCTCTTCATCAGACTCTCGGACCCCGAGGAGATCACAGCGGCGTCTGCCACCCACCGGCAGCGCGCCCTGCCACGGCGCAGCGCTCTGGGGTGATGTCGTTTGGGTTTTTTGTTCTGACCTGACGTCAGGTTCAGGGTCTCATCTCTGGCACTTTTCAGCAAGTGAGTATGAAAGGCCTCGCCACAGGCAGAGGATGGCAAGAAATTGTTCAGGCAACGACCCGCAGGTCTCTGCGCGCCCGGGCCACCAGGTAGGGAGGAAGAAGAGCTGGAAAGGGCGGGAACATCAAACCTTTTTGGAGCATTAAGGCCAGGAGGGATTTTGGGGTCTGATTCAAGCCCCCTGCTTTACAACTGGGGAAACCTCGGCTGTGAGACAGTGAGAGATCCAGAACCCAACCACCCAGCTACGCCGCCCCGGATTCCTGACCCACAGATACGCGCGAGAGAATGAAGCTTCACTGTTGTTGCAAGCCACTGAGTTTGGGGGCGATTTGTTCGGTAGCAATAGGTGACTAATTTAATCGCGGCCTTATCCTGCCAAGTGTGGCTTCCAGCGCCTTTGGCTGCTTCTCAAACTCCATTGATCCCCAAAGAATGGAGATGTCCCAGTGGCTTCGGGGAAGGACGTCATCCCACGTAGACGAACACGCTGGGCCAGGGCATTCGGAGGCGATAATGAGATAACGCAGACGAAGGTCGGGCTGGGGAGAGGGGCCCAGACCTGGGAGTGAAGCCGCAGGCGGGGTCTGGCCTCTGCCGCTCGCCGGCCACACGACCGTGACGGTGACTCAGCCTGCCTGCGCCTCAGCCCCTCGTGCGTCTAATCCTTCGCTGACAGCATCACTACGAGGCTGACAATCTGCTACCCCAACAGCAGCCAGAAGGAGCTTGTTAAACTGCAAATCCGATCATGTCACTCCGGTGCTTGAAATGTGTCGGTGGCGCCGCATTGCCTGGATGAAGGCGACAGGCCCAGCTGGCCGGCACCTCCCCCTGCCCAGCTGGGCTGCGCTGCCCCCACCCCTCCCGCAGCCCCGCTCCCAGCTGTTCCCCACGGGGCCTGTGCTTGGGTTGCTTGAAGGCGCCACTCTCCACCCGGCACGTGGTCCCTCCCGCCTGCTGGCTGCCCCACCCCCTCCAGGCCTCACCTCGAATTCGGAGCCGCCCCAGGTGCTCAGGTGGCTCTCATGCCCTGGGCGTCGCTTGCAGCGACAGGCGGGTTTGCATCCACGGGTGTCTGCCTCCCTACAGGTCACCGAGTGCCGAGAGGGCCGGGCCCCAGGGCCAGCGCAGGCAGGTGCAGGCACAGGCGTGCTTGTGTGCGGTGGATGAATGAACAAACAACAGTGCCTCGCGCTGTGCAAATATTTGTTCTCGTCCGCTCCCCCCTGCCCTGCGTTCACGCCAGCGTTAGCAGCTCCGTGGGGACTCAGGACGCAGGCAAATGCTTACAGGCTTCTATGGGTTCTTAACTTGGGCTGAGCATTGGAACTACCTGTAGAGTTTTCCAAAGAAACTGATGCCTGCGTCCTACCCTCAGAGATCCTGGTACAGACTCGGGGTGCGCTG